GTGGTGGTGATGGTGATTGCAATGGTGATGGTGGTGAGGATGAAGGTCCGAGGATGATAATGCTGATGCTGATTCGAATGCGGATGGTGAGGATGAACATCATGATAAGGATGATCATGCTGTTGACGATGACGACGATGATAGATATGCTGCACCTGATGATGATGATGATGATGATGATGATGATGATGATGATGATGATGATGATGATGATGATGATGATGATGCTGGCGATGCTGATGCAAGTGGAGATGCGGACACTTAAGATGAAGACACGAATGAATATGATGATGCTCCTGATGATGATGATGATGATGATGATGATGATGATGATGATGCTGTTGCTGCTCATGATGATAGTGATGATGGTGATGATGATGGTGATTATGATGATGAGGATGATGATGATAATGATGGTGGTGATGATGGTGGTGATGATGGCGGTGGCGGTGGCGGTGGTGATGGTGATGATGCCGTTGACCATGGCATTGGTCTCCGAGCCGGGAGGGGGCCGCGGAGGCAGAGCGGCGGGCAGCTGCCGCCGGAGTCCCTGGAGCAGACCTGACGTCGGATGCTTCGTACCTTGGCACATTTCCCTGGTGAGCACCGTTAGATATTGCACCTCCTCCTCCTCCTCCTCCTCCCCTCCACCCCCTCCACCTCCTCCACCTCCTACACATCCTTCTCTCCTCCTCCTCCTACTGCTCCTCCTCCTCCTCCTCCTCCTCCTCCTCCTTCTCCACCTCCTCCTGCTCCTCCGCTTCCTCCTCCTGCTCCTGCTTCTCTCCTCCTCCTCCTCTCCTCCTCCTCCTCCTCCACCTCCACCTCCTCCTGCTTCTCCGCCTCCTCCGCCTCCTCCTCCTCCTCCTCCTGCTCCTCCTCCTCATCCTCCTCCTCCTACTGCTCCTCCTCCTCCTCCTCCTCCTCCTGCTCCTCATCCTTCCTCGGCCTTGCCCGGGCCCCGCCGCTTCTCCCCATCGAGGCCGCGCTTGGAAGAGGGAGCTTCGGCGCGCACGGCGCACGAGGCAGGGGGGGTCAGAGCGTCAGAACTGCCCCCCCTGAGGCCACTGAGAGCCGGTGGGGGCCGGTGGGAGGAGGAGGAGGAGGAGGAGGAGGAGGAGGAGGAGGAGGAGAAGGAGGAGGAGGGGGAGGAGGAAGAGGAGGAGGAGAAGGAGAAGGAGGAGGGAGGAGGGAGGGAGGGAGGGAGGGAGGAAGGGAGGGGGGGTGCGCCTGTGCTCCGTTTTCTGGGCGTGGCTGGGGCACATCACTTCCGCCAAATTCCCACCCGGGGGGCCGGAGAGCCCAAGTTGGCCGCCAGATCTTCCCCGGAGAGCTCAAGATGCACCCAAGATGGCCCAGGATGCCCTTCCCCAAAAGCCCGAGGAGGCCCAAATCACTGGTTTTCTAAATGCTTTTGAAGGAGGGTCCCAATACGGCCCCACAGGCCCCAAAGATTGCGAATGTAGCTGCCAAGGCGAGCCTGAAGTGCCCCCAGAGTGCTCCCAGACGGCACAGCGAGGCGCCCAAGACGGCTCCCGACGGCGTCCGACGGACCAGAAGCCCCTTAAGACAGCCAGATGAGCTTCCAAGACGCCCCCAGGAGGCTCAAAGACCCCCTCAAGAGGCCTCCTCCTACGATGGCCCCAGGCGAGCCCCAAGACTGCCCGTAGGCCTCCAAGCTGACCCGAGCACCAGTGGGAGCGCTCCGGATCGGCGGCGCTGGCTGGAGGCCACTGCAATATTGAGGCTGGGGAGCACAGCGTCAAAACTGTGTCCCAGAGGCCACTGAGAGCCCTCTGGAGAGGACCCCCGAAAACATCTCCTGGCTGGCCTGCGAGCCGCAGCCCTCTTACCCAAACAAGACTTACGGTCGGAAAGGGCAGCTTTCCCGACTTACACACGGGAGCTGTTGCTTAGCGTTAGGTCGGGCATGTCCCCCTACAGGCGGCTTTGTGGGCGATTTGGTATAACCGAAAAAACTCACGCAATAACCCAAGATAGTCAAACATATCTTGAACCAACAAAAACGTTGCCTGACTATTTTTTTATGTTTGAACATTCCTCCTGCAGAGGGACATGCCCGACTTGCGCTTAGCGTGTCGCTGCGGCGGCACCGGCGACACGCTGTGCTCTGCAAGCGGCCAGCGTGTCGCTCGGCCTTGCGGGATGGGAGACGTCGGGACGCTGAAGCCTGGGAACCAGGAAATGGAAAGCGTGTCGCGCCGAAGCGTGGCGGGACAGAACCGGCGGTGCGACACGCTGACCAAAAAAGTTCCAGGCCGTAGACTTGTGTCGGACGTGCATTCCAAAGGGATGCGAAAAAAGAACGGCAGACGCTTCCGCCCCAGAGAGGCCAGGCGGGCACGTCCGCGCAGAAGTATGGACGTACTCGTGTTCTGTAAAACCGACTAGACGTAAGAGTGACCTTTCGCAGGAGTGACCTTTGGTGCGGTCACAGATGGGTCCACAAATAGCTGAAAACGAAGCAGCAGCTGGTTGCGCGCCCAGGTTTGGTCCCCCCGCGGCCCCAAAAAAACCGCGCACCACAGGTCATTCTTACCCAGGGTCACTCTTGCATTTTGCTGTTACAAATAGCGACGGGGAATTTCTCGCTGTTTTCGGCCCCTGGAGACCCCCGCCCGTCCAGAAAACGGCTCGCGATGCACCGCCGGTCCTGGCGAAAGGGTATAGGCACCGCGGCGACGACCCAGAGGTCCTGCGCTGTGACCACGCTGGTCCGCGGCCTCAGGCCTCCCGCGCCCCGGGCCCGCTCTCGGTGGAAGACAGTCCTGAGAGGCCGGCACGAAGGACATCGGCAGGCTAGTATGCCTCCAACGAGAAGTCGGAACCCAGATTGGAATCCCAAGTCGAATCGAATCGGAACCGGAAGCCACCGTAGTCGAACCGAATCGAAGCGGAGGAATCCACACGAGCCCTGGCAATGAGGATACACTTGTGATCCTCGGCCCTCCTCCACGTTTTCCCCCGGGGCCATAGGCGACACGAGGAGGAGGTGGTGGAGGAGGAGAAGGAGGAGGCGGAGGAGGAAAGGGAGGAGGAGGAGGAGGAGGAGGAAAGGGAGGAGGGAGG